TGGTCGAGTCTATATTTGCTCCTCTGTATGTTCTTGGTTGTGTGTTTCCCCATCAGCAGATTCCCATGTGTATTTATATGTGTTCTTCTACTCGAACCTAGTACTTCTAAGCACCATATTTCGTGATGCTGCTAGATTAATGAGTCTGTTCCCATTTTCGTTTGTTTCCACATGTGCACTATGTCTGCCAGTATATTTTCTGTAGATTTGTTCCTTTCCAATCTTGGCATTCATGTCACCAATTATGATTTTCAAGTTGTTCTTGGGGCAGTTATCATATGCCCTTTCCAGAGAAAAGTTGTTCTTGGGGCAGTTATCATATGTCCTTTCCAGAGCCTCATAAAATATTTCTTTCTCATTATCCTCCTTATCTTCACTTGGAGCATGGGCGTTTATTATGCTTATATTATAAAATGTGGCTTCCATCCTTAAAACACATATCCTCATGTCTATAGGCGTGAATCCTATAATCCTTTGATTTGCTCTTTTCCCAACCAAGAAGCCTGTGCCGAATATATGTTGTTGTTCATGACCACTGTAATACAGATCCCAGTTTGGTTTTCGCATCTTTCGTGTCCCTACCCAGCCTATCTCCTGCAAAGCAGTGATATCTGGGTCATAGTCAGTTAGTGAATTGATAAGCATTGTCCGTACTCCTGGTCTATACGAAGCTCTTACATTCCAAGAATAAAGTGTAATATCATTAACCTTTTTCCATGTGTCGTTGCCATTTTTTCAGTCCAATCCGAGGCGCCTTCTGCGATTTCCTGACAATGTTCCTTTTACGGGGATAGGTTGTCAGCCTATCGCCCAACCCCTAACCCCCAACCTGGAGGACCAGTCCGCTGCATTTATATCTCCCGGGGCTGGGTGGACCGGCTATACCCCCGGACACTGGGTAGCCCCGGTACCTCGCGAGCGCCACTTCCCGTACTCACAATGTGAGCCCCTGAGGACGGTTAACTTCCACTAATAGGAAGAAACTAAAAACTCAGTGTGGATATTGTTAAATGTAGCAAATACGATAGCGTTATTCAGTTTCGAAACCTGAGTAAAATGACCCTCGAGCTTTTCGTGACATTTGCCTCAAGTGGTGTTTAATAAACATCGGTCAGGAATTCCCAGGTTCTTGTACTTCAGAGGATGGACTTGTTTTATTTGCTGTTACTGCAACGTGGAAAACCTTGACATTTTTCGCGTACAGGATATTAAGTGGGTAGACGTGGCAGACGTGATTTGTATGTTATAGGTACCCTATGAAAGCATTTCCACACAAAGGATAAGATAGAAGTAATTTTTAAACCTTACAGATTTAACACGCACTACAATCATTTTAAAATTCAGGCAGATAATAAATAATTTTCTTTTTTGTATAAAACTGGACTGACAACCTGAAGAGGTTGGAAGGATCCTGTTCATAATATATGGACCTGTCGTCAGACAGAACACTACAAATAAAAATAAAACTGGAGTATAATAGCGCTATTTGCTATCATTTTACCTTTCTCCAAATGCGTTCTTTTTTATACTGCATTGTTGTTATATAAATTATATCGTTTACATAACAAATCAATAGTACAGAAACTATGGAGCAGTTTGTTGGAAGGAAAAAAACTGTTTGCTTGTATTCAGGAGGTATCAAGTCTGATTCTGGGCCAGACTACTTAAAATTCACTGTTTTGCTCTCTAATCAAGAAAATTCCAGAACACTACCTTAAATACGCTACGATAGCCCCCCACCATATTCTTACGTATGAGCAGTTCATGATCACTTATGTCATTCAAGATGGATCTTCGAGAAGCAAAGTGGAAGGGTGTGGACTCAATTCGTCTAGCCCAGAATAGGGACCAGTGGCGGGCTTTTGTGAACACGTCATGAACCCTCGGGTTTCATAAAAGACATACAATTTCTTAAGTAACTGAGTGACTTTCAGCTTTACAAGGACTCTGCTCCATGAAGTTAGTTGATGAGATACAAATGTATTCGAAGGTACAGTTTTACGTAGGCCAAGACCAGTCATTGAATAATATTAACAGGGAAAACAAAACAGAATTTTAGCAAGACTGATTTAGCATCTGATTGCACGAGTGACTGGTTGAATGACTGAAGGGCAACTTGAGACGTGCTTCGAGTTTAAGAAAATGTTGTGTAAGCTACAACTGCTAATGTAACCGGATTCTAATTGCCGTTGTAAGCCTCAAGGCTGTTGTTATTTGTTGCCTCAGAGACCCACTTTGTTGAATGGAATCACTAGGCATACTATTCAAGATGGATCCGGACGTCACATATGTGAACACTACTCATTTGCAAGTCTTTCAGACTAATCAAAAGTGTAAAGGTACTTACCTAATTTCTGCAAATTACAGGCGTATTGAACAGTAAATTTACTTCCACATGTTTCGTCAGAAAGTAAGATTATTTAGAAAGTAGCCATTTCTCATTCGTTTATTCATTGTCACACTTGTACTTAAAATATTCGGTTCTAATCTCTGCTGCACGATCTGAAATTTTTGGTGAGTTTTTAAAGTTCCTCACTGCGAATTTTTCTAACGTAAATAATTTTTGTTGGGAAAAGTATGCTTGTGTTATCATCATTACCGCATGTCCGTGTGCCTTTCTCCCTAATAACGTTTGAGCCAACTGACGGATTTTAATTAAACTTGGTATGAATATCATACCATTAATAGACACACTACATTTATACTGTCAATAACAACATGGTGAGTGCTTCTGAGATGTACGCGACTCTTAGCATCACTTTTATTAGGGTCTTGCGGTAAAATACCCCCAAAAGCTGAGCAACGTCTGTTAAGGTTAAATAACAATATGGCTGCTGCGCGAAATCCATAATGGATTCAGCTTTCGGTTTGATGAGCTTCGTAATTATGAAAATTTGGGCAGGAAAAGAAGATTTCTTCTTTTTTCGATGATCTTCGCTGTTGTTTGTTCTTCTGTCTTTAGTGCGTTACGTAAACTATTAAGGCGTCTCCTAGTGTGTGACTTTATGCCAGTTGTGCTATACAGGTTTATCCGCTGCGTATTTTGACTTTTTACTTAACGCAGGGACCTCTTCATACCCTGGTGTGCCTTCGTTTTGCATGTCTAGTTCACGACCGACCCGAATAATTATTACGTAAGCTTTCTCGTTAAGGTTATTATGATGAGTAGCGTATTTGGCCTCCGGTCTCACAATCAATTATCAGGTAATGAATCCTTCCGACACGTTGCACGTCCTACAGCGACCGGCATTGGAAATTAAAATAAAATGAATATATTTCAGCATCAAGGTCTCATCTTAGGTAGGATCTGATGAAGATGACTTTCGTTTGTTCGTTCGCTCTTTTCCTCCTCCGTCTGCTGCTAATTCTCCTCTATATTCTTGTTTTATTGTATTATTTTTACTCTTTCTCTCTCCTGTCTTCTTCTTCTTTATCTTTTTGGCATCAGAGCTTGCTTATAAATCGGCCCATCTCAAGGTCAGAATAAGGTCAACACGAAAGAATATGAAGAAAACAACGAAATTTTGACCCTTCGTGTCAATGAAGACTTAAACGCAGCCTAAGGATGTGAGTGGTCGCAGGACAAGCAAGACTGATTATCACAGTCTGTAACCCTGCACATGGCTGTAATTGTAACACGAAACAAGGTCGCGTGGCTCTGATGGGGAATCCCAAGTTTCGGAAACTGAAAGTAATAATTGGCAGTTAAATTCCTATCTTCTTCCTTCCAACTTAGGTTCTGGTAGTAATTTGTTATTATTATGCCTTTGTTGTATGCGAACAGTTTGAAAACCTAACGCCAATTATCATCCTGCCTCGTGTTTGGAAGGTTCCAGGTCTGCTTGTCTGCCTGGAAGTCAGATATCCTGACAATGTCCCTTTCCTTGGTGTCTTATTAGGTTATTCTTTACGTGAAGTAACTCAACGGAACAGTTTAACATTTGAGAAGCTAATAATCGCCCAACTACTCAAGAAATTTCCAGTCTTCTTTTGCATCTGAAAGCTCATTTGTTCATTGTCGTGTTCACACACAAGAACCCGCCACTGGTCTCTGTTATTAACCATATGAATGCATTCCACCTGTCTGGTTTTCCTATCAAAATTGTATATGCATATCTTGTCTCTCCCATTGGTATTATTAATACATGCATCTCATCATTCTTGATTTGATTACCTCAGTAACTTGCGAGTCTCGATACTATGCACTTTTGAAAAAATGAAAGTCATCATTAAATAAAGTAGGAAACAAACCGTTTCCTGTGTCAGCCCAATCTGAGGACTTTTCGCAGACCTACTTGGAAAATTCTGGTATAGCACATTAAAAAGACATCATGACAATTTACCCATAATTTCTAATTCGCACGTAATCATTCGATTCTATATGCAGATGGTAGATAGTAAAATAAACCAAGACTCAAAATAATAATGGAGAAGATAGGCACTGGGTTGAGTAATTATAATTTATCGAATTAACGGTTTGCAATCATCGCCTTTAACCTCACAGAAACATTTTAAAATTCTCATCAATGACCTCGTCTTAGAGAATCGTTTTCTTCTTTTTAATGTCGCAATGTTGTTGTTTGGAAAGAATCATTCGCTTTCTCTACAGTCTATAGACTTGCCTGGGATGCTTTTAGAAGCTTCTTATGTCAAATCCATGGACCACTTGTAATGGTTTGCATTCGTCGCAGGCATAATGGTACTCAACCTAACCCGATTTCAGACTTTTCGGTCGAAGCTTCACGGAAACTGTCATTAAAGGTATGTAGAGATTCAGAAGGAAACGATCGTGAAAACACCCACGAAAATTTTCGTCACAATGGAATCTAAGTAGGCTGAAATTCTAACTCGGCACATCCAGAATCCAAGTCAGAATCGTTACGACTAAATTAACCTGTTCAATGGAATTTCAGTAGAGTAGATGTGCGTGGCAGTCAATATAACGATATCATGGCCTGAGAACTTTAATGAATAGTACTTGTACTATAAAATAAAAGCGGTTTAATATTTCATAAAAAGTAATGTCTTTATTACGGTTTTGAGCAAGAGAAGTCACAAAGAAGGATTCCTATGTTGTCATGTTTGCATAAATATTCATGTAATATTTCAGCCATTCATATCTTTACTATTTAACCTAATTTTAATTACACATCAAATAATCATTAACTCTTTTATCTGCAATATTTCTTGAGCATTGTCGGATTATATTCTTCTTGTGTACTGTCACAACAAGAATAGAACATTCTCATGTGGAATACACATTGCAAACACACACCTCTCTCCCGGAGTATGTTTAATGAACAAACGTATTTATGACTCTAATTACATTATCCATTTTTCAGAAATACAGGGAACAGGACCATGAGTGTAATTAGTAAGCGATAAATTACTGAAACTGATGTCCATCCTCTTCATTACTTGGAAATGATGACTGTCAGATTCACTTAACGCTAAAGTGTTTGTAACACCCTCTTTAACAATCAATTATTGTGCTTGATGTAAAACTAATTAATCTGTTTCATGCCACAAATGGAATCTCTTCCTTTGAAACACTGAATAACTTCTTAGAATATTTTTAGTTTTTAAGAATATACAGTGAAATAATCTTCAGTTGTTGTGTCTTGGTACTGAATCTTTTCGCAATCGAAAATTATATTTCAATTTCCATGAACACCACAACCAAGGGATGAAAATCTTACTGAATAAAAACTCAGTATCCAAATCATTACGCCTAAACACAAATGCAAAAATTTGGGGCGCTAAAATTCAAAACTCCTCTTCAGTTCGAATATTTTTTTTTTACTTAAATTCATAATGAACACTTCACGAATGACGTCATATTTCATCTACCCCATCTGGAATAAAAACAAACGGCAGTATGAGTATGATTTAAATGATAATTATATGCATGACACGCGAAAATGAACGCACAGTTTTCAAGTTGCGATATATGACACGCGAAAATGAACGCACAGTTTAAAAGTTGCGATACTCGGTCTTTGTGTTCTCTTTGACCTCCGAAAACACTGAATTAATTCTGATGAAATTTCGTCACTGGAAATTGCGAGGATGATTAAATTTTTGTTAGTGTAGTTCTGCTATACATATACATGGATTTGTGTTGCACGTAATGTAGAAGTTGTATTGGACAGACACACACCGAGTTCTTCGAAGTCCGTAGACCTTCAGTACCAAATTTAAACAGAACTAATTACACGGTTTCGGAATTGAAGTTCATTTCCTACTCACCCATATCCAGAAGCAGAAGAACCGGCCTGGCTGGAGGAGTAGCTTCCCCCTCCCCAGCCACCACCATGGCTTGAACTGGAGGATTGGCTCTGGCTGTAGGATCCTCCGAATTCGCCTCCACCTTGGCTAGGATAGTAATCATGGCTTCATAACCGCCATGCCCACCATACCCTCCATAACCCCCATGCCCCCCATACCCGCCATCCCCACCATAACCTCTGTATCCTCCATAACCACCATAGGCACGATCATAAAGACCTCCGTAATAACCCAAATGCGCCCTGTAAAAACAATTTGCTGAATTAAAACAAGTGTTTCTGAACAAGTTAATTAGAAGGGAAGTAAATATATGAAGAGAAAGAGAGAAGTCAACACAGGAAAGAGAAGAAAGAGAAGAACTGGATAAAATTGATTAGAAGGAACCGAAATGGGGCTTGTACATAACAGTTGCAGAAGAGATACGAGATCGTAAATATGGAAAATGATTAAATAATAAAAACAGTAGGAAAGAGGCGGAGCATATGAAGCAGAACGAGGAAGAGGACGATAAGAAGATTAAGTAGAGGGAGCAGAACAACATGAAGAACAGGACGCCAAGAAAAGTAGTACAATAGGAAGAGGAGATGGAAGTAGAAAAATAAGTGGAGGACATGGATCAATAAGAAGTAATAGAACATAGAATACAAGAGGAGAAGATGAAGGAGAAGTAGAACCACACGAAAATAAGGTGGAACTGGAACAATAACAAAAAAGGAGAAAGTAGGACTGGAGCAGGAGAATATAAGCAGAGGAAATATAACAGCGAGATGAACAAAAGGAGGAAGCAGAGCAAAAAGAGGGCGCAGAAAGGAGGAGAAATGAAATAGTAAACTCCTATTCAAGTTACAGGAAAATTAAAATCGTACTGCTTACCCGAGAGCAATGCCCGCAACTTTTCCAATCAGCAGTCCTTTCCCGAAAGCCAAAGTTTTTGCGAGAAGAATAGACCGCTTCTCTCTTTGGAGTTGCCCGCCTTCTGTTGGTGCCACGATCTCTACTCCAACCGCTGATTCTGGAGGGGGAAAACACACAAATGAACGGCAGTCGCGATTAATTTTGTGCATAGGTCCTTGCTGCCTCCATCATCAGGGTCGGTAAACTTCTACCATACTACACGGCGCAACAACCCTTAAGACTCACCGCCGTGAAAACCTCAAATCCTACATAATTTTGTGCAGTCGCCTACCGCGTATCTTCTGTCAGCAAGCGGAATGCGCCTGACTGGGGTATCCCGCACAACCCGGCCCCAGTCCTATCGATATCCATCTGCAATGCTCGAAATACGTTGCCTTTGTTTGCAATCACACCATGTTCACCACATACAATGTGTGAGGTATAAAATTTGCAATTTAATCAGCTGTCCTTTGTCACTTTTACTGTTGACGCACCTGAGTGTTTGGCCCTGAGATGTTGTTGCCAATTACAAGATGTCGGAACCATACACAGTTCCCTCTTAACACGCGTGGTCATGAAACGCAGAGAAAGTGAAGTTGAATAACCAGTTTCGGTAAGAAACCTATGTTTGGTGCATAAACAGAAAGTTACGAAATGTATTACGCCGTGTCGATGGTAAATTGCATAGTTGAGAAATGTGCATTGTTACTATCATTGCTATATTTATGGGTTATTTAACGACAATTTTTCGACTATCTTGCATACGTATCGTCGAAGGGAATACAACCATTTAAAAGAAACGAGAAACGAAAAGAGGGCAAATATTAAATAGGATGCGAGTATGGGAGGTGGATGTCTAATGGCGGGCATTGATATTAACGATACTTTAGCTTCTGGTTCTTATACAAGATGGCTAGTTAGTTGGTTAGTCATCCAGTCAGTCTGTCTGTTTTTTATGTATATCAAAAGAAGAAGAAAAAAGAGGAATATAAATTTTCCTTGTCAATATATCGATCGCAAGTCATTGTTAAATTTTCACGGTACTACATCAAAATTTGTGCCCTATCCTCCGAAACTGAACAATTTTTAATTCACATTTACACCATCGAAAGACTTCTAATACAGGGCAATATAAAAGTTTCTCAAACATTTTTTATGCCACTTAGGTATGACCGTTCTTTCCTAGTGGTTTGAGAACGTAGAACTGAGAGTCTAAAACCGCGTGACAATTGGGATGTACTCTACGCCATGAAAGGGACGTGTAGACACATTTCTAGTCATACCTAAACTGAGGAAAATGAAGAGAGACTACAATCTGGTCTTAACTCTTTTATCGCAGGATTGCCATATTAGATAACTTTGATAAGAAATATAAGAGTCAATCGAATAAAACTTTTCTTGGATATTATCCCTCGTCTAGTTAATATAAAACGTAAAAACGACGTTTCGGAGATGGGGATTAGCTCTATCTAGTGGGCCCAACTGTGTAGGAACCTGAAGACGGAGATAGAGTCCAATCTCCGAAACGTCGTTTTTACGTTTTATATTAACTAGACGAGGGATAATATCCAAGAAAAGTTTTATTCGATTGACTCTTCACCATCATCAAGAAGTTTTAGATTTGAAGAAATATATAAATATTTTAACTACCTTTCCTTTGACATTTCAAATTCATTTGCAGAATTTCATCAAATCACGTAAATTATTAGGTTACCATGGAAGCAGTTTATAAACTCAAGATTAGATATTTACTATTTTATTTTCGGCTTGTAAAGTATAAAATAATCTATTGTGAACTTAAAATAAAATATGCTAACCTGATTTTTCAGCTTCCACAATGATAAACATGGCGATTATTGCCAAGATTTCAGTAACGTTTATTCCTTTCATGGCACCAATAATCCTTTGCGGATAATAGAAGAGTCACTGATGCTTAAATGTGTGACCCTTATGCCTTGGCTTTTATATAGGCAGTCGCCACACAAACAGACACACATTTTACAAGAGACAACATACACATATTTCCCCCCCCCCTCTTTTCAAGCTAACATTCTAATCCCCACTACGTTTCCCTTCATACGTGAAATGTATTTTTTCGAACTTTAAAGTTGTGAAGATATTCGCTCCTCCTAGCGGATGATTTAACTCTTAAACATAATTCGTCGCCTCATGAATGCTAAAAACACGCGAGAAACAGCACGCACGATGACATCATGGTGCTCTGAGCTTGTTCAGGAGAATATTTGAATACCACTTGCTGGACGTCTGTGCAAAGACTATGGCTATGTTAACAGACTATCGAATAACTAGTAGTGTGGACCATAAAATAACATATCTAATGCCTAGTAAACTAAGCTATACCATGCCCTGGTCAATAGCCTATTAGCTATTACATAATGATATGTTATTAAACGGTTAATAGCCCTTATAATAAATTTAAAAAAGCTACTCTGTGGCCCACCTAATACTAGGGCATAAACGACCATTATTAATAGCTTGTCCAAGGGACAGTAAATTAGGCACATTAATAACATGTCTAATAAAAACTTATTCCACACTATGGGCATGTTAACAGAATATGTAACATTCATTAAACAAGAGTACATTACGGTCAGATCAATGACCTGACTAATATCAGGAAAACATACTATGGCTAAGTTAATATAATACATTAGATGACAGCTAATATGGCATTCTTACCAGACCATTTAATAGTTAGTAAATTAGGTTACACTTTCAAAGTAAATAGCATTCTACTTCCTACTAATCTATGTTGCAGTATGGAAAAAATAATAGCCTAGACAGGTTCCGGCATTGACAGGTTCTGTGATAAGAAGGTTTTGGCATGCACTAGATAATACAAATGCCGAAAAGGCCAGGTCCGGCAGAGA